TAAGACACTCAAAAAGACAAATAGCATATGTATAACTTAGATTTTTAAATTGTGTGTTCTCGCGTTTATGTGTGTAGGTCCCAAAGCTGGGAAGGGGATCGTGTGAGGAGAAGCATTTCTAAGGGAGTGGAGAGCTGGGAGGTAATGGAATGCACAAAGCAGAGGAGGTGCTATCGGGGGAAGAGGAGGTGCTATCGGGGGAAGAGGAGGTGCTATCGGGGAAGAGGAGGTGCTATCGGGGGAAGAGGAGGTGCTATCGGGGAAAGAGGAGGTGCTATCGGGGGAAGAGGAGGTGCTATCGGGGAAGAGGAGGTGCTATCGGGGGAAGAGGAGGTGCTATCGGGGAAGAGGAGGTGCTATCATCGGGGAAGAGGAGGTGCTATCATGGGGAAGAGGGGGTGCTATCAGGGAAGAAGAGGTGCTATCGGAGAAGAGGAGGTGCTATCAGGGAAGAGGAGGTGCTATCATCGGGGAAGAGGAGGTGCTATCGGGGAAGAAGAGGTGCTATCGGGGGAAGAGGAGGTGCTATCAGGGAAGAGGAGGTGCTATCATCGGGGAAGAGGAGGTGCTATCATCGGGGAAGAGGAGGTGCTATCATGGAGAAGAGGGAACCCTGCAGACTGGGGGGCATGGGGGAGGACAGTAGGGGCAGGAGTGTTTAGGAAGAGTCTAGTAGTGCATACATATGCAAATGCCATAATGAAACCAGTTTCTTCATATGTTATCCCCAAAAGCAACTAAATATTGGGCCGGTGAGATAGTTCAGTGGGTAAAGACACGTGCTGCCAAGCCTGAGGACCCGAGTTCAATCCCTGGAACTCCTGTAAATTGTCCTCTGTACTCACACACGAGCAGTGGCACACGTGTGCATACAAAATAAGATTAAGGTTTAAAGAAACTATGAAATAAATAAAGATATTTTGTTTTGTTCTAGTGCGTTCAATCCTTGGGAAAGTAGCAGGGGTTTTTTTGTTTGTTTGTTTTTGCTTTTGTAACCCTTGGAGGCAGAACCCACTGCACAGTGTGTGGCACACCATTTCCATGCACAGGGTTTGCACACCTCCAGATGCATTCCGTGGGTCCATCTCACAGATGGGAAAACTGAGACTTGGAGAGGTCAAGGGGCAAGCTCAGGCCATCCCTGCTATCCTACTCATCACCCCTTGTTAGCCACCTTGACTGCCACCTGCAGACTGGCCTCTGGCTGCAGGTGTGAGACAAGCCTATAGGAACAGGAGCTAATTCCAGGCTGTGGGCAGAGCAGCTGTTCTGAAGTCACAGAGCCTGGGGCCACGCGCGGCTCTGCCGCTCTACCGTTCTTGTAGATAAAGTGCCCCACTTAGGAGAAACGATCACCCACTCTCCTGCTGCAGAGTCATTAGCTCACCGACTCCTGGAAAACCCATTTGGCCCTTGCTGACAGATGCGGCCATTACAGAATCACTTAGCCCCTCTGCCTGCCCCTCCCGACCTTGGGGGAGGGGGAGCTCAAGGCAGGCAAAGCCCAGGGGACAGCCTGGGCCATTCACTTCCTGGCTCTGCCTCCTCTCCAGTCCTAGGCTGGCTGCTTTCTCCAGGCCACACTGAAGCAGCAGGAGGCAGCTTCAGACAGTGCAGTCAGCTGCCAATGACCTTGTCCTCCCGAGACCCATTCGGAGGCTGCGTGCACCTTCATCATCTCCTTGGCTCCTCACAGCAGTGCATGCTGGGAATGAGGGTTATAACAGTCACTCCACAGGTATAGGAGAGGAACAGGGAGTTGGGTTGCCCAAGGTCACACAGGTAGTACCCACTCCCAGAACTGACCTACTTCCCCAGCCCCACGCCGACACAGTCTTGTGGGTACGCTAATGTCTATGGGAACTCCAGTGGGGAGTCCTGGGGTAGGGTTGGGACAAGGGACATTTCTCTGAATCAAGAAGATGGAATGGCCTGGTTTTGTAGGGAGAACAGCTCATACTGGGAGGGATGATGGGCCACTGCTCAGGACAGAGTAAATGCCGGCCCAGTGTGCCACACGAGATTTCTATTGAATAGCTGCTGGTGGTACTGGGCTCCATAGGTCCACCCCTGTACGCAAGAGCTTTGTTGTTGTTGTCATTGGAAGGGCCATCTGGACACGGGTGGCGGCTGAGAACAGCTCATGGGAACAGCTGGGTGTTGTGTGGCCACAGAGTCCATGAGCCTTGTATGGATTTGTGGCAGCGGCCAAGTCCTGCTAGGAAAAAATACCAAGTGCCGAATTCTGAGGGAGTAGATTTCCTGTGTCGTGGAGGGGAGCCTGGGGCAGCCCTGAAGCCCTGACCCTTGGCTGGCGCCTCTCGAGAGCTGGACAGGCACGCACTACCACACCTGCTCTTATGCGGCCCTGGGAACCGCACCCAGGGCTTCAAGCATTTGAGGCCAGCACCGTGAGCTGCATCTGGAGGCCTCTAAATTCCATTGTATAAGTGAACTCTCATCTCTTTAAGGAATGGGTCCTTTGCGGTGGTTCCTTCCACCACAACTCTCCCTTCCCCTGCCCCTGACACAGCCTACCCTGAGATGCACACCCCCTCCCTGTCCCCATCGAGATCCCTAGGAACTGTCTGCCCTCGGGTAGGGCGAAAGGAACCTGGGCAGCCCTGATTGACCACATTCCACTGAACCAAGCGGATCTGCTGGGCCCTGGCCGTACTGATCAGTTCCACTAACTGCCCAGGTGGTCCAGGTGGAGCTCCAAAACTACCATGGGCCAGTCAATGCCCAGGTGAACGAGACAGGTGAGAGGCGAAACAGAGCGTTGTGTGACCCAGGGTGGATATCAGAGGCCTCTGCAGAGAGTCACAACTGCCTGCTTCTTGATGCCTGTCCCCCTGAAATCCAGGATGGGTCTGAGCCATGTGAAGTTGCCTGTTATCCTTTTGACTTGCTGGTCAGCTTACTCGACTCAACGCCGTGGACCAGAGCATCTGCATCCTCCCAGAACCCAGCTCCCACCTCTCAGTGCTGAGGGTCAGCTGCAAGTCCTGCCCTTCTGGAAGTCCTGCTCTTCCATGAATTCCACTAGGAAGAAGGAGTCTGGTGAGCTCCTTCTCCCCCTTTCTTCCTTTCCTTCCCGGCATGAGGTTTCCAGCTAAGAAACACCTTCCAGGCCCTGATACTTGGGAGGCATGGTAGAAGAGAACCAGCCTTCACACTGAGCTTTCTCCACACCAGGCTTCACCCAGAAGTGTATCCAACCATCACCTTCAAAACACCCCAAAAGCCCGTTGCTATGGTTACATAAGAGCTAAAGCACGGAGAGGTTTGAGGACTTGTCAGAGCCACACAGCCAAAAGAGTTGGGATTTCAAACATGCAAAATGTGTGCCTTGGCAAGACTCTGAACTGGCAAGGGTTTTACGTTTTCTAGTGAAGCCAGTAAGTTTCATCTCATATATTGGTTGAGTCCCAGCCTAATTTGTGGTAAACACCGCAGAAAAACCATCTGAGGAGCCCAGGAGCTCTCACTCCCTGGGGTTGGGGATCCCTTGCTGGGTCTGCGCACAGACAGATGTGCACACACCAGGAGGCCAGGGCACTGGCCCAGGGGCAAAACCAGAGGAATGGCTGACCTCTGCTCGGGGAGGAGACCCAGGGTGGCCTCCTCCCTTCCCACAAGCCTCCGGCCAGCATCCGTGCGGCCAGCATCCATCCGGCCAGTGTCCGTCCGGCCAGCGTCGTCCGGCAGCAAGCAAAGTGGCAGAGCTGCCCTACTGGCCATCTGTCTGCCTTTTGCCACTCCCCTGCTCTCACAGACCACCTTTGCCCTAGTGACAGGAGCAGGGCCACGAAGCCCAGCTGTGTGTCCCCTGTTCCTGCCACCAAACCTCACCAGGAAATGTCACTTTAGAAAAGCTGTCCAACCTTCCTGCCCTCAGTCTTCATATCCCTTAGATGGGAAAAGACTCTCGGATGCTTGTGGCCGGAAGCGTTTGAGATTTGAGACATTTTCAGATATTGGAAATTTTTTTCATAAACATAAAAGATGCTTTGGGGAAAGGAGCCAAACCAAAAACATGGGGTGGTGTTTCCGTAAACACTTTACATAACCTATACATAGTTGTTCCAATGATTTTGTGTGTGAAGTATGGAATGGAATTTTCCACTTCTGTAATGTCAGCGCTCACGAGCTTTGGGGTCTCGGAAGATCTTGGACTTTAGACTTTCAGCTAGGGCTGTACTCAAGCAGTACTTACCTTATGGGTGGGTTGTGACGGTGTAACTCGTTAAGCCCTGTCAAGTTCCCAGCCAATGAGACAGTGGTATCTAGCAGAGCTCTTGCTACCCAGCTGAGAGACCCTGCACTGGATATTCCTAAATAAAATGCAAACTGAAGGAGGGAGGGAGCCCCCTGGGAATGGCCCAGGGTCTTGTGCCCAGGTCATCCACCATGACTCCCTGTGACCCACCTAGTGCTCTGCTTCCTGGGGTGTCACGCTGACCAAGGCTGACCACTCACTGCCCCTGTCATGGCTGCCGCGGCTTCTAAGCTCTATGACCATAGCCTGCAGTGCGTTATGATATGCTCTTGGAATGTTTCAACTAATAAATTAGTAATAGTTGTTAGTCAATCATCAGTCAATCCCTGGGGCCTGAACCTCCTTTCCAGACCAAAGCTGGATGTCTTTTATAGTCACATTAGGAACTTCTGCCGACAGGGCAGCCCATAGGGGCTCCAACTATAACTGCCCCAAAGAGCACTTCACCAGTGATGGCCCTGATTAGGACAAGGTGGGGCAGGTGGCCAGAGTCCTAGAGACCTGAGGGAGAGCTCGCGATTGTGCCGGGGCCTCCAACCAGCCCCAGCATCTGCTAAAAGGTTCTTGTGCCTGAGGCTTCTAAGTAAGACCATTTCCATTTGCACGCTGGCCAAAAAAAACGGAGTATTAGGGAGCACAGACTCCACCCAGCCCGGAAGCATAGGGACCAGGGACCAGGAAGGAGAAAGAGAAGTCAGTCTTTAAAGTCTAAATTTATTCAGATGTTTAAACGAACAGAAACAATATCATGCATTGGTTACTTTTTCCCTTTGTACAACAAAACTAAGTGCTCAGAGATCTCTGCAGAGGTTTGGCGCTCGCTTTTTTTTCCTTTCTTTCCAGAACGTCAGGCAGACTTTTCAATGTTATCCAGTTTTGCACAGTCACTGGAGTGTCGCGTCATGAATTATTAAATCAGTGCTTCGTGGTAATACATAATTTCTTATCAATTATTCATGCTAATGTGTGTGTAGTTTACTTAATTGTGTTATTGACGATCAAAAGTAATTTCCTGAAAGTCCTCAAGGACACAAAATTTAATCAGCATAACTACTTTTCGGATGCAATGCTGTTAAGTATTCTTAATTTGCCCAACAGTTCACTTATTTATGCACCTTTCTGGAGGAAATACGAGTTTAATCAAACAATTAGATTGAAGAGTTAGTGCGCATAAGGGCTGGAGCATACATTGCTCAACCAAACCTTCGTAATTACAGGGAAATGGAAGCGACTTGGCCGCTTTTTGGCAAATCACTTCATCTTTGTACTCAACAAGCAAAATACAGCAGGAACAAGGATCTGCTCTTTTTTTTCTTTTTTCTTTTTTTAAGGAGACAGTGTGTTCTACCAACTGTGTTGCAGTATTCGTAAGTGAGGCACGATACACTTAGGAGTATTACAGGGGCAGGGGCTCCTGCAGAGTTGAGGGAGAGGCAGAGGGCCTGAATGCAAAGCCTTTCGACTATCACAACTGAAATGGAAACAGCCTTCATGAAAGCAGTTAACTGTTTGCATGGAAACAGCAGCAGCAAAAGCCACCAAAGACCACCACCCTTCCAACACGGGGACAGGCAGGGCTCATGCTATCGCGCTCTCCCCTTTGGTCTCCTCGAGGTCGCCATCCTCGTGAAAGAACACAGCCACCCTGGATGAGGCAGAAATCTCTGTGAAATTTGGCCCTTGGGAATCTGTTCTCTTCCACCACAAGGAGCCACCTTCCTGGGTCTCACATCGCCCAGTCCTGTCTTGTTGCCCCGCAGATTCCCCCTCCACATGACGGGGACAGGACGAAGGGCAGTTCACTTGTGCGTGAGTTATTTCGGGGGGGCCTCCCTGGGGGTCTCCTCCCTCTTCAGGGGCCTCTTGTCCTTTTGTAGGCCACAAAGCTGCTTTGGAATTGGTGGCCTTCCCATCGCTCTTCCGTAGAGACGCAGGGCCCGTAAGTGGACACTCCAGTCACGGGGCACCCACGCTTGCTGCACACCGCAGTATCAAGATAGCAGCCCCCGGGGCCACGGCGCTGACAAGATGTGTGACTGGGACCAGCCAGGTGTGCCCAGGGAATCCACCACCGTCAGGACCACTGTGAACTTCCTAACCAAAACCTCAGCTAACACTTTAAACAACAGAAGGGGGAGGGGGGGGCTGTTGCCAGTCTTGACTGAGGGGAGTAAGAACTTGTAGCTCCTCTACCAGTTCTGTGGTCCTTACAGTATATGAGAGTGGCTGTCCCGTTTCTTGTCATGAGATGTCCCCCATTGGTATCTTTCAGAGGTGACTCATGCCACAGTCCTTGGAGTGACAAGTCCTCCCCAGATGGCTCAAGAAGGGTGATGGGGTGAACAAATAAATACGCTTTGCCCCAACGCTGCTTTGCCTGGAAAATGAAACAAACAACAACAAAAAAAAAACCACACAAGGGCCTCACCACAGAGCAGTTTCCAGAGCCACTAAGTGCCGTTGGGAACTGTCACCAAGAAAAGCCAGAAACAACCACAGCCCACCGGCAGAATTCTAGAGCGACTCTCCAGGCTGCAGGTCTCACTTCCCCCGCCAGATCCATGAGGAGGTGGCTACTCCTTGTGGTTCAGAGCCGCAGGGCAAGCAGGGGTGGGGAGGGCTCCAGGCTGGGCTACTCTGGACTCTCATACACTCTTCTCTCCCTCACTCTGTTCCTTGGTCGGGGAGGTCTTGTCCTGGCTGCCTTCCGGAGGGGCCTGCTTGGAGGCGGGGCTGGGGCTGCTGCTGGTGGAGGGCAGGAGGTTGGCTGACTGCAGCACAGCTTCTGAATGCTCGCGGGCCTTCATGCGCAGGGCCGCCACGCTGGCGGTGCGGTTACTCTGGCAGCCATAAGTGGGGAGGAAGGAGAGCCCCATGGGGTCTGGGACACAGCAAGAGCAGAGTGGGCCTCCTAAAGGAAGGAAAGCAAGAGGCTCTGTCATTGTCCATGCCCTGTTTCTTAGGGCTGGGGAGGGGCTTGCCCCCCCCAAAAGAGGGATGTTGATCCCCGTTGGTTCCAGATACTAGACTGAGGACAAAACCCAGGCCCCCAAGGATGCAAGACTCTAAGCATCCAGTCGGTGGTCCAGAGAGCTGTCCACATTAGGAGGCCTGGTCAGACTTGGCCGTCTCTCACCAGCCATCTGTATTATCTCAGTCCGACATTACTTTTCTCTGGACCTTGACCTCTACTTGGGTGAAATGGAACAATGCATATGCATCACAGAGTTGTTCTGAGGGTCTGATGAAGTCACCCCGCACTCCCAGACCGTGCGCCAGGTCACCCTTAACAACTCACTGTGAGGCTCTGCTGGGTGCCCAACCACTCTGTCAACTCAAAACCACTCACAGCTTCCATATGAGACCAGAATACATCCCATTCGAGAAGATCAAATCTCTGTGAAGGGGATTCTGCAGGGTTCACACCAGTGGGAAGAAAACCCACGCGGGATACAGAATGAAGGCGGGGTGTGCCCTCCCGCAGAGTTGGAGAAGCTGAGCCAGCCCATTACAGGTGTTAGCTACTTAAACTGAGACTCTTCCCAAATGCCTGGAAAGCCACCGAGAAGACATAATGCTTACTAAGTCATTTTGGATCTAGCCCTTTAATGAAAAGAGCTGTTGGCTACTCCTATGGCCCCAGGCTGAAAGGACTTCGGTTTGGGGCCCTGAAGTAGTTGTTGGAAACACATTCAGCCCAGACCCATGTCATGGATTTTCATTCTTATTCACTGTGGCCTCTTGGCTGGCAAAGATAAGAGATACTGCACTGCAGTCCTTGAAGGGGCCCAAGCCAGAGCTGAGAACCACGGAAATAACAGAGTCCCCTGTGCCCCTGATTCCCCTGCCATCTTTGACACGCCCATCAGCTTATGAGCTGACTTTCTACTGTCTGGCATGGCTTGAAGTCCCCCTCTTCAGGCCACCTCAGAGCAATAATCCAGATACGATGCCACTTTGTTTTCAAAGTCATGAAGGCTGGTGTCTCACAGAGACCAGCCTCTGGGCTAGCCTCAGCAATGTCAGTTATACAGGCAGCTAGAAGGCCTACATAGTTTTGCCTCCCAGTGCCGGGCCGGGCAACCCTCCTCCTCTTCAGCATATTCAAGGACGTTGCCCGTCTTTGCCCATCCTGCTCAAAGGCAACAAGAAGATGCCCTTGGCCCCGTTCCCCATTACCTCTCCTCACCAGTACGGCCCCTGAGAGGGGTGAATGTCCCTCCTTGCCCTCTCCTAATAAAGGGTCAGAGGTTCTATGCCTTACAGAGGTGGGAGCAGCCGCTTCCTGAGTCTTAACATAATGGCTGGAATGCAGCAGCGGCTTCCTGCCTTGGTTTTTAAACGAGGACCTGCTGTACTCAGGCGGGAGCTACCAAGATGATGGAGACACAGCACCAAGGCCAAGTGCACAAGGGACTTCTGAGAACCGTTCTCCCAACGCCGACTGCCTGGCTGGTCTCTAACCTGAGGTGCATCTGACCAGGCTCTGAGTCCTGCATGTTCCCTGTCCCCAGCGGCTTCACACGGACAAGGTGGTACGCTGATACACATCACACTGAGACGTCCCTGCAGGGACTCGGTTTTTGCTGGGAAGGATGTCTGTGCTGCTGGCACCATGATTTGGGGACCTCCCCTAGGAGGCCAACTTCCATCCAAGTCCCCTTCCAAACAAGGCACTTGCTGTCTATGAAAACCAAAGGTGTGAAGAAACCAAATACTAAGGATCATGGTCCCTCTGGGGAGAAGGATAGCAAAGAGTTTGTGGTTTTCTGTTTGGATTGTTTACACTTTTCTATAATGATCGCGACCTTCATTGAAATTGCTAATGGATGGCAAAAAGAGAGAAGGATGGAGATGGCCCCGCACAGCTGAGAGGAGGCCAGGTGGCAGGGAGCCCCGGCCACACACAAGCTCAAAGTCCCAGAGAGTAGACGGGGACCTGGAAGGAGCCATGGCCTCAGGCTCTGCAGGCTCAGCCCCAGCAGTCACTGTGCTGAGCTACCGAAGGAAGGCTAGTTCTGTCACAGGATAGGACTTGTTCCAGGGCGTCCTGTGAGTTAGATGCTCTGTGACTCAGGTGACAGTTACCTTCTGTAGAATATAGAAGTGACAAAGCTTCTCCTGAGGCCAAAGTCTATACACCCTAGGTGACACCAACAATGGCCCCAATAAAGTCTCCAATAACTTCAGTCCTGGCCCTCAAACACCAGATTTAGAGATGAAGAAAACTAATTTAGGACCCAGTTTGTGACCTGGTTCTCACTCACCCCAGCCTAGACAGATAGGGAAACTGAGGATCAAATGAAGTCAAAGGCTCTAGAGGACCCTATGATTAAAACTGCTACACACCAGAGTGACATGCTTCTTTGCAAGAGAGACACTGACTGACCCATGTTACAAGAAGGGATCCCAAGGACTTGACAAGGAAGACGGTACTGTAAGATTCCAGTTAAGGTAACAGACAAATCTATAGGGACAGAAAGCAGAAAGTCAGCTCTAGCGGTCTGGGGAGAGCAGGAACAAGGAGCTGCTGTTTAATTGTACGGCTTTAGCTTCTGAGAGGAAGAGCATTCAAAGATGAACAGCCATCTCTCAGCATTCATGTAGGACTACCTACAACACCAAAGCCCAAGGATCTTAGTCCCTTATAAGAGAGTGGCAAGTGTTTGCACAGAACCCATGAGCATCCTCTGACATTCTTTCCTCTCTGGGCTATTGTAGCGTTGGGCTAGTAGTTGTAATACTGTATTATTTAGGTGATAATCACAGGAAAAAATCCATGTGCCTGGGTCCCCACAATCCAAGTTTCTACCTGTAAGTTATTGAATGGAGGAGTGCGGAACTCTGCGCATCCAGGGATGGTTGCATATTTAACAACATTGAAAAGCACATTTAACCGCAGTTAAGGGCTTGGAGAGCTGGCTTCACAGTTAAAAGCACAAAATGCTCTCGCAGAGGACCCAGTTCATATCCAAGAACCCACATCGGGTGGCTAACAACCACCTGAAACTCCAACTCCAGGGGAACTGACACCCTCTGGCCTCTAAGACCATAGCACTCAAATGCATGTACCCCTCCTGTAGACATACATGCACATAATTAAGTTAATGAAAATAAGTCTTTCCTTTTTCCAGACAGAGTTCCTTTGTGTAGCTTTGGAGCTTGTCCTGGAACTCGCTCTGTAGACAAGGCTGGCCTCAAACTCAGAGAGATCCACCTGCCTCTGCCTCCCAAGTGCTGGGATTAAAGGTGTGCACTGCCACCATTGCCCAGCCAAAATAAATCATTTTTAATGTGGCTAAGATAATAAAGTTAGCTAAGTGCAATTTGCCATAATTAAAAATAAACTTTAAAAACTGACACTGTGCCGGGCGTTGGTGGGGCACGCCTTTAATCCCAGCACTTGGGAGGCAGAGGCAGGCAGATCTCTGTGAGTTCGAGGCCAGGCTGGACCGATAGCCTCCAAAACAGAGAAACCCTGTCTCGTAAAACCAAAATAAATAAATAAATAAAAACTGACACTGGGTCAAAGGATGGGTCCATCTGGTCCAGAATGATGAGGACCACAAGAGGCTGCTAAGACTCTTCTCCATTTCCTACAGTGACTGAGGACCTCCCTACCTGCCTAGCCATGCAGATTCACACCGACTAGCTAACTCCCTCAACCCTGCTGGCTTGGCGCATCTTTGACTAAGGCTACATTGCAGGTTTGTAAACCTTCGTCAAGCTGGTGCACACCTAAAGATGAGACCATGAAGTAGGGCACCATCTCTGAGATGAACACTGACCACAGAGGCATCCATCAGGGTCAAGGTGCCTAACTGAACTCACACATATCTGAATCACCCATACTGGAACGCTGAGGAATGAAGCCTTGGCGGAAAGAAGGATGTCCAATGAGGTACCCCAAAAGGGGCCGTCCCCTTGGCCTGCCCTGCCCTGCCCTGCCCTGCCCTGCCCTGAATATAAGCGTGGAAGGCGTGACTAGCCAGGGTGGAGCTGTGTATGACAGACAGGAGAGAGACTGTCTATGTGATAGCATCACAAGCAAGGCAGAAGACAATGGAGACAGGATGGGATTTAACAGGGAGACGTGCAGAATCCGTGATCTGGGCCCAATGATCCAATTGTCCAAAGTGAAACCTGTTTTGTCTGTGAGTACATTGTCAATGTGACTTCATAGGAAGCTTGTAGTGACCCCATAATATCATAAGCTGCCTTAATAGAGGCAAAATCCACACCAACGATGAGGGTGGAATCTTATTTCTCCTGGGTGGCCATGCCATGCCTTTAGTCCTCCATCAGCTAAAACCCTGACAAAAACCCATACAAAGCTCAGGAGAAGTCCATTCAAAACCTTTACCAAGAGCTTCGGCATTCCTGGATGTGTGTTCCTGGCTAAAATTGTCTGGTTTAGAAGGTTGTCACAAATAGAAAAACAAATGTTGATAGCAAACATGTTGGTGTAGGTAATAAAGAGGAGACAAAATTACATAAGCAGCTTTACAAAGCAGCACCTCAAAACACATGGCAACCTAGGGCCGTTTAGTCCTGGGAAAGCCAGGCAAAAGGTTACCTGAGGACTAGGGAGGGAGCCTGGGTAACACGCTTGCTGAGTAAGAATAAGGACCTGAGTTCAGATCCCAGAACCCACAAAAAAGCTTGGTTCAGTGACACATGCCTGTAACTTCAGTGTTGGGGGCAAAGACAGGCAGATTCTGAGGCCTCAGTAGAAACGGGAAGTTCCAGGTGCAGTTAGAGACCCTGTCTCAAAAACTGCGGTAAAGTGATAGAGTGACTTCCACTCACTCCTGAACAAGTCAGTGTGCACACATATATGGACAAGCATGTACATATATGTGTGTATGTGCATATATATGTATGTGTATGCATAGTTTTTTAATTTTAGAA